ACACACACACACACACACACACACACACACACACACACACACACACAGAGCAGTGTGGGATTTGTTCCATCTGTGTTTTGGCCTCAGCTAAAGAAAGCAGTTTATATTTATAGACTCTGCTGTAAATACAGAACAGTTATATTTGGTCACTATGCTCAGTGTATTTTTGGACGCCTGTGTCACTTTGGTGCGTGCCTCTGTGAAATCGACAGAAAAAAACCATCAAAATAACAGAGCCATTTGTTTTGCCAAGACTCTTTGTGTGTGTGTGTGTGTGTGTGTCTGTCTGTATACACAGACAGACACACACACGCACACAGTCAACCAAGAAAACAAACTGGACCTCTTCTTTGCATGTCTATCTGAATGCAACAACAGTTTGGATGAATAAAGAGGCGTCATTGCAAAAATAAAGCTGTTCATTTAGACAAAAAGAATGATTCGTAATATGTTGTTTCTAAATGTGTTTAACAGGTTTTCTTCTGCCATCCTGAAGCTCATCCAGGTTTCTACATAACAACACTTAAATCTGATGGTACTTGTTAACTAAGAAGAACATGTTAGTCACCATATAATGATAACAATTACCCTCTATAACGTTCGTTTGTTGGCAGGTTGCTGTGTGTTAACAAGTGGTGTTGTGGTTAAGGTAAATTGATGTCTCCTCTCACGTTTTCTCCCAAAATGCTGTAATTGAAAGCTGCTCAGAATTTTAACAAACAACAACCACTTACTGACATCCAGCACGAAACAAAAGTACAACCGAGGTGATGGGAATGTCAGTTTTGGATTACTTGGTTTTAAACATTTCTGACCTGATGATGGGGCTAAGCCTTGATCATACTCCAGCGGACATATATGTTGGGATCTTGCAGGAACGGGTTTGGTTATTAGCAAGTATGAATATCAAATTATTATTATCAATAGAATTATTAACATATATTAACAATGAATGGGCACCACCCTGGGATCAGGGACCAATAATCAAACTGTGGATTAAGTCTCAAAATTAGAGTTCACTCACAATGTCAATAGTGAAAGTACTATTCCTCATTCAGAGTGAACAGTGAAGGTTTGAATCCGAGCACAACACGCATGCACGAAATAATCACAGAAAACTGAGTTTATTTATCTCTAACAATACTGATCAAAAATCAATTATATTGTGAATCAACAAACATCTATTATACATTTACAGCATACTACCTAAAAGCAACAAACAATCACGTGGTGAGGGGAGTGTGTGTGTGTGTGTGCAGGGGGGGGAGAGAAAAAAGATGGCGGAAGTAGTCTCGTAAGTGATTACACAACACGAGATTTAAGAATGGCTCCACAACAGCGGTGAGGCTGCGATTATTTAACGGGGAATAAGACACACAATGGAGGCTGCGCTTACACGCCACGTGTGTATGAAATAACCTTAACAGCACAGCCTATACGTGTGTTTGAGAGTGTGTACGTGTGTGTGGGTTAGTTTGAAAAGAAAAAGAAACCACTCCTGCTTTCTCCTGCTTAGGACCGGTGACCCTGACTGCACTCTCTCGGCGGGTCAAGTATGGCAGCGGGGATTTGTTCTTCAGACTTGTAAGTGGTATTTCTTCAAACCTAGGACCGAGGACCGTACAGCTCTATTGGCGGTTTAACCGACGCCCTGATTCTTGTCTGGCGTCAGAGAAAACTGCGAATGCCGACTTAAAGAATCCAGCAATTCCGTGATCTCCCTTCTGCAGGTTAAAGTGGGGGAGCAAGTTATCTGTTCCCCCTTCAGGATCCTGTTGTTCGACCAGTGAATTTAGGAGTGTTCCCCTAGGGTTTGTCTTTAAAAGGCACCAATGTTTAGCAATGTGAATCGCATGGACAGCGCAGGATGAAGGTATGCGTCGGTCTATATAGCCTTGGTGATGTCATGGCCGTGTCACAGGGACTCCCTGGGGCTCCCATGGCCCTCGTCCAATGAGCCACCAGTGTTGTGGTTTGAACCAAATCTCACAGTCAGGTGAGATTCTGAAGCCTGTTGGGGGGTTGGCGTGATTTTACAATCCAAGCTTTCAAAATGACATGCAGGCCTCTCTCTTTGTTGCAACCACATGGTGAAGTCCCAACATATACATACTACAATCACGGGTGTGCATACCCTCGAAACGTAACACAGATGCAAGAAAACGTGATGGTGACCTCCTACAAGAAGAGCTCATTTCTTTACTATATTTGACTGAACAACATAAAAAAGGAAAAGGGTAGGACCATGGATGGGGAATACGATACAAGAACAGTACGGTAAGAGTGTCCAGTTAACTTTTCTAGTGACGGACAGTCCACAGCCACACAGACGAACTGGCCTTCAGATGAAAAGCTAACGGATCACCAGAGTTCTTACAGTTAATACTGATGGGAACATGAATGTTTGATCCAAATTTCATGGGGATACATCAAATAGTTGTTGAGACACAACAATGTAAGCCTCATTGTGACTTTTACCCATCAGAACAGACCATTCTCACCAGATTGAGGCTGGGAAATATAACATCCAAAACCCTGTGACAAATACTACACGTTTTAACCATGTTGCACCTGTCCAGAGGTAAATGCGTGAAGTCATGAAAGTGTAACTCTGCCTCAAAGGGCCTCTTTCCTTCGGGTGAAGTTTGATGAAGTGGTTTTGTGGTTACGACGGGATACATTTAGGTGCCACCCATTGTGGTCACCGCTGGGCACCACAAGGTTTTAAAATCAAATTCCCTTGGTCCAGCTGGGTTTCACCATTGGGTGCCTGGTTTGATGACTTCGCCAGAAAGAAAGCCTCAGAGAGTTTAGATAAGACAGACAGTGAGTGTAGGACGAAATGGAGCAGACAGCCTGTTGAATGACTGTCACCGGAGAGGAAAGAGGCCAATCCCGGGGTGGAGGCTTCGAAAGGGGGTTTGACTGTTTGTCTCCCTGCTGCCGGAGGGACCACACCCAGACCTCCACCACCCAGACACACACACACACACACACACACACACACACACACACACACACACA